GGGAAGACGAACTGGACACCCGACACAGGGTGTGGGGAGCAGCGCTTGAACCAGCCTCCTTGCACCTGCTGATGGCCCAAGCTTTGCCCCCATCTGCCCCAAACCAGGGACACACAGGCCGTTGGGACGACTGCTGAGGCCAAAGAAACCAAGGGTGGTCAAGCAAGCAAAGCGCCCAAGGCCAGAAGTGTGGGCTGGTGTCCGTGGGAGCCTCCCCTCCTGCTTCCCCCAGGGGACAAGCCCCCATCAGCCAGGTCACAGGAGGGGACATCTCCTGCGGCCCAGGCACTGCCCTTGGTCCTGCTCTCTCTCGGGGCCACCTGGGACAGGTTGCCAGAGGACACTGATGATAAGTGTGACTTGAGTGGGGCCCAGACACCACGCCCAACGACCTCGACCTTGGCAGTGCAGCCCTGCTGTGCGGCCCCCTTCACCACATCCCTGCCTTTCCCCGCTGGGGACAGCCTGCTGGGCTCTGCCCCATCCCCCACCCCCAGGCTCAGAACAAGCTTCTAGGTGGCAGGGCCTGGCCTCCTCCCCTTCGTGCCAGCCGCCCCCCAGGCACCCGTTTGAGGTGCACTCTGGACATTCCGGCGCCTGCAACGTCAGCCCGGGGCCCAGAAGCGCCCAGGAATTCCCCAGCCTCCTCTGCAGGCGTGAACTCACACACACAAGCACTCTGCACCGGGGCACAGACCTGCAGCAAACACCCGAGCCCCACAAACAGTGGGGCAGGGAGGCGGCCCCTTCCACAAACGGCCAGCACCCAGGATGGGCAAGGACGTCTTGTCAGCACACACGTGTGTGCAGGAGTGCCCTTGGCCAGCGTGGCTGCGGACAGCAGAGCCTGGGAGCAGCTCCTGTCCTGCCTGGTGGGTGGGCCCCTCGCTGGTGTCTCGGAGCTGGTGTGCTACAGGCTGTCTCTCCGGGGCAAAGCGGGGAGAAGCGGTGATGCGGGGCGGATGCTGTGATGTGGCAGGGGGCGTGGATGAGACAGCCCCAGGAGCTCAGGTAGGGGGCCAGGCCACGGTGCAGCCGACCCAGAACATGAAGCCACAGCCACCACTGGGAACAGCATTTGCAAATGCAGTGGGTCGGGACCCCTGCCGTCCTGAGCTACCTTCTGGCTGCGCCCCAGCCAGGAGTACTTTACGGGAAGCATTTAAGGCCTGGTTCCAGGAGGCCTGAGGGCACAGGCCAGGACAGGGGGACTGACCGGGTCTCTCTACTGATGGGGTCCAAGCACGGCCCTTTCTGTCCACGTGAATGTGGCTACGGCCCCTCCCACCTCCCAAAGCCCCTGGGATGTTGCCGGCTCAGCCCCAGATGGAGCTGTCACACTCATCCCATTTCACAGGTGAGAAAACCAGGGCCCCGAGGGTCACCCAACACACCTGGCATGAGCCAGGAACCAGGGCCTCCAGGCTCCAAAACTGGTGGCTCCCCGCTCACGGAGCCCACTTGGGGCTGGGGTCCCGGCAGGGGCGTAGGGTGGGCATTTGCAGAGATCTACAGCCCTCCTGCAGCTGCACAAGTTCCAGCTCCCTCTGTGGAACCAGAGCTGGCTGGAGACCCCAGCCCAAACCCAGCCGGCCTTGGACCTCCTCGTGGCCAGCAAAGCAGGCTCCCAGAGGCCCCCTCCCTGCCAGGCCAGAGCCCACCCTCCAAGGCCCTTGGGACCCTGCCCCAGGCTGTGCAGCTACCACCCAGCCACAGGATGGGCTCCCACCCCAAATGGGCGCCCCGCCCCCTCCAGAGCCTTGGCTACTCGGAGGCTGAACCCCCTCCTCCCAGCAGCTGCCTTGGTCCCCAACCAGGAAGGGAAACACATCCAAACCAGGTGGAGGTCCGGGTGCTGCCAGGGTGCCGCATGGCCTCACCTCACCCCACACAGTAGCACGACTTACCCAAGAGCCCTAAACTCTGCCACTGGCCCCACAGAGGTACTTCCTGCTCTCTGCCTCCGAAGATGACAGCCCGGACCCCCTGCTGCAAATCTGGCCCTTTGAGCTTTTCTACATGGAAAGGGCAGGGCTTGGGGGTGTTGCACAGAACCTGCCTTGCCTCCCGGCTTGCTTAGGCGTGTGTGCTGGGCTAAGGCGGGGCTGGGGCACACACAGTCCATGTGCAGCTCCGATGCAGCCCTCCCAGCTCATCCAGCCCCCCTGCCCCTGCCAGCCCCGGGGCCACCTCCAGGCCAGCCCCTCCCAGACACGGGTGCTCCCTCCCCCCCCCCCCCCATCACCTACCACGTCAATGAGCTGCGCGATAGACAAGCCAAAGTGGACAAGAACTACGTCCGAGATGTTGGCCACGGGCCGGGACCACTTGTTGTAGCCAGAGAAGAGTTTCTTCAGCAGCCGCTCCTCCGCGTGGGCCCGGGTCTCCACGTGGCTGCACACTGCGGGGACCAGCAGGTGCGCGGCTCAGGGGCAGGGGATGGTGGCTGTCCAGGATGCCCCCTTGGGCCTCCTGCCAGGCCCTGCTCAGCACCTGGGCTCTCTTCCAGCTTCTCACAGCATGTCCCTCCTACCTCAGGACCTTTGCACGTGCTGCCCTACTTCCAGCCGCAGTTTCTCCCCTACCGCCTGGGTCTGTAAGGGGGTCTGTAACTTCCTCAGGGTAGCCTTCCTAGCATGGTGCCCCTCACCATGAAAGTAGATAACTGGTATGATAAGTGCTGATTTGGAAGCGTCCCCCCGTCAGGCCATGACTGTGGGAGGGAGGGACTGTATCTCTAGCTACTAGCAGAGTCCTGAGAACCTTGCCTCAAACTACAAGGTGGGGGTAACCACAGGACAGGAGGGGGCAGAGGGCAGTGGGGGCAGACCCAGGAAGGGAGATGGAGAAAGGAGAGTGAGGATCCAGCTACCGAGAGCCTGTTTCCTTTGGCTATGGCATCCGCAAGCAATCACCCAAGAAGAAAACGTGCTTTGCCGTGTAAGGGGTACTTTAAGTGCAAACCCTGACAATGAACCTGGCACCCTGTGTTCTTGGACGGACACACAGCCTGCCCTCGATAATCAGGTCTGGAGTGAGCCTGGGGAGGGGACCCCTCATTCAGCACTGCCCATCAGCCAATCTGTGGTCTGAGGGCTTCCCTGCCCCTCCTGGGCGACTTCGCTGGGACCACTGCATGGGGGGGAGGGGGGGCGGGGGTTTGAGGAGGGGGACAGGAGACTCCTGCTGCTCTGCTCCTCTCAGCTTGGTCCTGCTCACCTGTGAGTCGCAGACGGACATTAGGAGGGCATTCACAAGCACCTTTGGGATCAGTCCTAGACCCCCAGGACCCTTCACTCCCAACCCAAAGCCCCAGCCTGGTTCCTCTGACAGTAAGGTGTAGCCCACTCCTCACTGGGGAGGCCAGAGAATTACACTCCACTCACCCCTGAAAGAGCAAGGTGGCTTCCCAGGGAATGGGGAGCAGGGGGGCTAGAACTTCCCCTGTCCCAGTGGGCCTGGGGGAGCAGAAGAGGTTTGGGTGGGGCCCTGCCAAGGGCAGAGGCCACCCCTCTGATTCCCTAAACCCCGGTGCAGGGGGGGAGGTGGGCAGGTACCATGTAGTCTGCAAGGAAATTTGGCACAATGGATAAATGGGGGTGGGGGAGGGGGGAGATGGACCGCGCCTCTCTCCATCCAAGTTGGAGCTTCTGGGTCCAGCTCTTGAAACAGCATTCCCCCTCACCCACCCAAACCCTGCCTGGCTCAGCCCTCGCCGCAGGACAGCCTTTTGCGTCTGGAGCGGGGGTGGGGGTAGCCTCCGCTGCTGCCCCGTTGCGCACACCCGCGGCTTGGGACCGCAGCAAGGAGCCTCCCTTCCTCTGGCTCCGGAGGTCCGAGGCCGCCCTGAACCGGGCGAAAGGGGGTCCTTTTAGCGCCCCGAAACTTACCAGGCAAGAGGCCGGCCCCCAGCAGCAGCAGCAGCGGCGGCAGCAGCGGCGGCGGCGGCGCCCCCGGGCCCCCGAGCTCCATGGCGCACCGAGCGGGCTCTAGATGCGGGCGGCTCCCGGCCCCGCCGCGCCCCTGCTCCGAGCTCCGCGTGAGCCCAACTTCATGCCCCCCGCGCCGCGCGGGCAGCTCCGTCCGCCGGGCCTGCTTCGGCCGCTTCTCCCGCGGGGCGCGGCGGCGGCTACCGCGCCGGGAGCGCGGGGCTGTGGGCTCAGCGGCGCGGCCCCGCCCGGACCTGCCCGCCTCCAGCCCGCGAGGAGGAGCGGGGAGGGAGAGGAGGAGGGAGCGGGAAGGAGGGCGAGGATCGGAGGGGGAAGGAGGGGGAACGGACCGCGAGCCGAGAGGGGCCGCGGAGGCTGCGCTCTGCCCGCGCAGGGCCAAAGTTTCCTTCGACCTCCTGGGGCTGGGGACGTGCCCGAGCCACGAGTGGGGGCCCGGTAGTCACTGCGTGCATCTGGGGAATCCCTGCGCGGTCTGGTCCGCGGACCACGAGACACTGACCCCCTCCCCGTCCCCAGCCCAGCGCCTCCAACGCCTGCCTGGAGGGAGGACGCGCACCCAGGGTCTCCGGGCAGGAGGGGAGCCCCCCACGGATCTGGTTAACTTCATCACCCCCGCCCCGCTCTGCAGTTTGGAAATCACAGGTCTTCCCCAACCAGGCGTTCAGGACAGAGTCCACCCCCATCGGCCTGTCCCTGGCGGACCGGGAAGCGTCCAGAGGAGCCTCGGCTCCGCGGCCCGCCCTTCGGGGGCGGAGAGGACCCTAACGCCCCCGCACCGGGCGAAGCCTCCTCTTGCTGCCTCCAGGTCCGGCCTGGGCCGGGGTCCGCCGCCCCCCGCTCTGCGCGGCCTGCGAGTGGGTGGCCTGCGCCGGCGTGAGGGCAGCCCCCGTCCCACGCGCGGTGGGCAGCGGCTGAGGGGCGACCGCGGAGCGCCTCGGGCCCAGGTGCCTGGAGAACACACCCTTGGCGCCCCCGGACTAGTCTTGAACAATGTCGGCCGCAACCGAGATGCCGCGGCAGCGAGCTGGACGACCCGGCTGGGGCTGCGCCCTCAGGTGGGTCGAGGTGACCGCCGGCAGAGCAGTAGGTGCTCGGAGGAGGGGCCGGGAGGGGCCGCTTTGTGCGGCAGAACCACAGTCTGCGGCGCATACACTCCGCAGAAACGCGAGCCCCGTAGCCATCCCTGTTCGCCGTGCGCCGGGGGCTCTGTGGGGGCGGTGGGGGGAGAACCCAGCCCCCAAACCGAGACTTTGGGTCCCGGGATGGAGGCAGAGAAGGAGGGGCTGGAGCTGCCCCCGCGCTTCTCCTGAGTCGGCGCCCCGCCCTTGAGGGGGCTGAATACGGGTCACGAGCCCCTCGTCCCCGCCCCTCACAGGCGATGCTCGGCAAGTAGCAGGCTTGGTCCCAAGGCAGCAGCTTCCATCAGCGAAAGCCCCGGCCCCTCCGCATCCCCGGACTTCCGCCCCCCCCCTCCCAGCTGGTCTCCCCTGGCTCCACTC